AGTGCTAACAGCTACAAAATGTAAAAGATTCTGCAGTTTAATTATTTTTTGGCTATGCAATTTTGTAGTATCTATGAAAATCTTAAAGGAAATAGCCCCGAAGGAGGAATTTGCTTAAATGTGTGTGTTGGATGTGTATTGCTTTTCAGCTTGAAGTGTGCGTTTCCTTTTGTACTGTCTTGTCTAACCACTATGCATTTTTCACATTATGATCTTAGTGGCTCAGTTTGCTGGGTGAGCATTTTCTTTTTACAATACAGGATAAATCACAGATTTTAGTCTGATTATGGTCTGAAGTCAACAAGGCCAAGTTAAACTGCGTGAAGTATGTCTGGGGCACACAAATTTATGTCCTTGTTTCAAGTATGTTTGCGAGGGAAATAAAGTAATGTTATGTTGTCTGCCTCCACTGTTTAAAAGGAACATTGTGAACATTTTGATTATCAAGTCATTTTTTCACCCTTTCCTTCTTTTTCTTTTTGTATGATATTTTTGAAGATGAATTTTGAAAAGTATGTTTTCAGGTCATCTGGTAATAACAGTTTGAAATAATTTTTGCTCAGTGCTGTACCTGTGAACACAGAGCAATCTCATCCATTGCAAACTCAAATTTGATTATTTTGTAAAAACAACAACAAAAAAAGTATGTTTCTTTTATGAGACTGAAACTCAAGGTCCAGCATTAGCAAAGAGAAGTTTTTTTCTCAAGCGTGAGATATGGTAGTTGACTTAAATAATGAACATCTTCATACATCGTCCTGTTGGATCAACTTTATTAATACATAAAACATTTCAAGTTGCTTTATTGAAAAAAAAAAAAAAGTGTATGTAAATAGAAAGCCAGATGCACATTTCCTTCTAACTCTGGTTTTTACAAAGAAAGAAAAGTTTCCATATGTTTTGGCATTTTTTTCTCCTCCTTGTTGCTTTTGTTGCTGCAAATTGACAACTCTGCAATTAGGAGTGATTAATGATGCACCCCAGTGCTGTGGAGGGCTGGAGGTCAGGCTTTTCATAGGCTGCATACTCTGTGGGAAAGGGGAGAATGGCCCTGTTCCCCAGAGCGGACAAAACCCTCTCTCTGTTGAGAATTGCTGTTGATGTGGACATAATGTGTGTCAGCAGTGATGCACAAGTGGTGAAGGCAAAGTGCAGAAGATGATCTTCTCGTGCTATGCATTTTTTTCCTTTTTCCTATGCCAACATAGCATCTGGATTATATGTATTTTGCTTCTTGTAAGTTAGCTACTCAACCTGCAGCAGGATTCCTGTTGCTGGAATCTGACGAGCACTGAGGGCCAAATGACCTTGAGGAAAGGAGTAAATATTGTGAGCAAAATAGTAAAACAAAGGAAAAAAAATAAAGGGGACAAAATGGAAAATTAAAGAAAGGAGTGGTTAAAGGTAGCAAGTGTGACTTATTCAATTCTAGCTCTCCGTGTTCTTCTGGTAAAAATTGAAAAGCTGGTTTGTACAATACAAGTGTTTTTAAAATTGTAGACTCTGTTAGCTGATCTCCAATTAAATGAACCTTTTTACCTCCCTAGCAAATTATCTTTTATCCAACTACAGTTTTTCAGTTGTTCAGAAACCATATTGGAAATCAGGGTTGTGCGATGTCAGGCAGGATATGATTGGTGGTTCTTGGTTCGTTAAGGGTGACTGCTTCTCTGAGCAGCAACCAAATATGGCCAGAAATGCTTAGAAATGTGTCAAGAACTCACTTTTTATCAGAACAGCATGAAAATACTCAAGTGTATAAGCAGCAATGTTTGCAAGCAAAACATTAATGTGTCATTTTTTACTGTATTTTTAACGTATTTTTTAATTTAGCGTGTACCTGTGTATTTTTGCATACAAGTATACACAAATCTGAAAAAAACCCAATCGAGTAAAATGTCTTTTACCTGTAACACGTTGCCATTTCACTTTAGGTGGAACAAAATCTATCAACTCTTTATCTACTTAATCGTTTCCATTGCGATACTTCCTTTCCTTCCATAGTAGTTTCAATGTGTCCATTGTTTGAGAAAATTTTTTTGCCATCTACTGTGGAGTTCGAGTGACATTAACCTTACTTTTGAAAACAGAAGACTGTGCAAAAAGTTTCTGTATTATTTATCTTGCTTAGTTCCTCAGAAGGGTTTTTGTTCTAAAAGGAAACCTTCTGTTTTAAACCTGCATGTAGGTTATGTACTATTTAAAATGCAATTTATCTGACCTGAGCTTTTGAGGTATTTGACAGAGTTTCTTGTGAAAGCATAGAAAACAGCAAGCAAATTGGAGCTGAAGTCTCCTAACTGGTGATAGAGAATTATGAATTTATAAATCAAATAGTACTTCATGATATGTTAGAGTTCCAAACATTGTATCTGGACAAATTAATTCAGTTTTGTTTTGCCTTTTCCTTGTGTGAGCAATAGTATTCTAGGTTTAACTTGAATACTTCTTGTTTCCTTTAGAGGAAACAAAATTATATATTTTGTATGTCTGTGGGTGGATGTGGTGAGGTGGAACAGGGAAATGCTTAAACATTAAAGAATTTGAGTTTTACAATAATGTTTGTTTTTCCTCTTCCAGGGTGGCTTCTGTTCAAAAACCTGATCTTATTCATGTACCAAAGGTATGTTCATCCTCACGAGGAAGAAATGTAGCATGTGCCACTAACCAATATCCATCCATCTATCCAACCCTGTTATTGATAAGCACTGTCATTCAAACTTTCCTTTCAGTATAACGTGCTTGTTTTCCATGTGTTACATTTAAGAGTATTACAGCATTTCGATCTTTGAGTGGTTACCTTTTTTCCTACTCCTAAAAAAAAAAAAAATGGAAAGACCTGGCAAATGATTATCCAAAAGGAACCCAAGAAAGGCTGAATAAATGTTACCTTCCGACTCTCTAAATTTGTTTTAGAAAGATATTGCTGATCTGTTTCCTCTGTACCTAAGAGAGAAACAGAAGTAAGTAGGCTTTGTTTTGGTGGTGATTTCTTTGTTTTTGGGGATTTGTTTGTTTTAATGGACAGTAAGATCTTTCTTTGTATTTGAAAGAAGCTTATCCAAATACTACCATTTCAGAGAACAAATCCCCTCACTTTCCTTAAAACCCTGGAGAATTACTTTTTCTTGAGTTCTTCTAATGTTTTGTTCTATGCAACAGTTTCAAATCTCCCTTTTTGATAAAAAGACCAGTTGCAAGCTTGAAAATACTTATAAATGGCCTGTATTTTAAAATTCTCTCCATTGGCCATAAATAATGCCTAGTATATTACTGTTCTGCTGACCGTGACCTTGAAAGGCCACAGTTTGGGAACCATAATGTTAAAAGCATAGATCCCAGCACAAAAAAACAAGCAAAAAACCCACAAAAAACAACCCCACTTTTTAAAATATATTGATCTGACAAAGGTATATGGAGACATTCGGGAACACCGATGTGCTCTAGTTCTGTCGTTAAAGATCTTACCAACAGATCAGTATGTATAGTGTGTGTGTACACATGCACATTCCATTTATGTATGGAGAACATGCATATCTAAAATTGGCTTTGGGAGATGGAATATGGATTTTTATAAAAAACACTGTTTTTCTCCACAAGTTACCCGGTGGGATTCACAATAGAGAGCTTTTTCAGTTTCTTTTGAATTTGATTTGTGGAGTGTCTGGTTTGGATATGATGAGAGGGGTCAGCATCGAAGAATTTCATATTGATTGTGTATGTTTGGATTGTTTCCTTTCCTAAAATGCATGGCTTGGATTGTTTTTCCATACATTTCATGGCTGCAGTCTCGATAAAGCTTGCTCCTCTGCTTCCCTCTTTCGCGCTAGGTGCGTTATCTCCTCTGAGAACAGCGAAAATCCCTGCTGAGGAATGTGCATGCTTTTGGCGTGGTGTTTGTGTGTTTCTTTTTTGTTTTTCGTCTCACATAGGGGGAACCTACTGAAGTAGTTAAGCCTGTGCCCATTGCCTCTGCTGTTGCGCCCAAAGCCACTGCCGCAGCGAGCGTGGCTTACAATAAGACACCGAGGCCGTTTGGAGCCGTGACCTCCTCCAAAGTCACCTCCATCCCATCACCGTCCTCCGCATTCACTCCGGCCCAGGCGTCGGCTCCCTCGCTGGCGGCCTCCGCCCCGGTCCCGTTTGCCGCGGCCGGGCTGCATGTTCACACCAAGCCTAACCCCGAGCAGCGGCCGCCTGTGCCGAGCGCTGCTAAACCTGCAGTTAATGTCCCACGGCAGCCCGCCGCGCTAAATGCCGCCCCGAGCGCCTCTGCCGGCGACGGCGCCCAGGATGTAGCCGAGGGGCCGCGACGAGGATTCAGAGAAAACCAGGGGGAGAGTAAACAGCAAAATGGGTAGGTGGGATTTTTTTTTTTTTTTGCTACGAGGGTCAGCTCATCACAGGAAAAAAAGCTGGGCTTGTTTAAGGGCTAAGTAAAACACAGCTTGGAGGCGTCATTTGACCATCAGAAGCAAATCCCTCAGAAGGAACTCGCATTTTAAAAGAGATGCTTCAGAGGGCCAATCCAGACTCTTGGTGATGATTTTTCTCATGAGCAATAAATCAGTTTACAGAGCGTGACAGCTAAATTAAGCAAGGACCTCAAAATGCTTTACGCAATGTGTTCTGGACCTTACAACAAGCCTGGTATTAATTTCAGTGTCCGCGTCTCACTGTGTATTTTGACGCCCAATACAGTGACTGAAAGCAGCAGGCACTTAAAAATGCAGAGCAGTCTGTCAAGAAGTGTCAGTGGGTACTGTGGTGGCTGGGAATCAGATGGTCTTAAAGACCAACCGTGGCCCTGGCAGAAAAGGCGGAAAAATGTCCCAGAAGGGAGACAAAGGGCCAGATGTCTCATTACTTCTCTGCACAACACAGGAGAAACTTTAGGAAGTATTCAAGGTCGCTGTCAGGGTTGAGCATAATTTTTGCGGTGCTCTAATGTAAATACCTCAACTTTAAATTTCACCTTTACCCTTAAAAAGCAGTGCAGATTTAAAATTTGATTAATTTCCATATTGAAATAATTGTTTATGTTAAAGTGGATATCGGAGACTGAATATTCAAGGAACTGTAAGCCAGCATAAAAGGCTTATGCTGTACCTGGCATAACATCTAGGCTAGTAAACAATAGATTAGTAAATTAAATTGAGCTCAGCAGCAGTCCTAGGAACTCAGACCTGCAGGAGGGTTCTTGCCTGGGGATGCCTTAGTCTCTCCCAGAAATTACAGAGCAGGGTCTGGGTGCTGCAACACCGCAGGGACTGGTTCCCACTGCTGTGCTGTGGGAAGAGAAGGAAGGTGAGCATGAGCAGTCCCATGCCAGTTGGCCTCTGTGCCCAGCAGCACTGTCCAGCAGGTTGAATTACATAATAAAACGGGCAGGAGAGGAGCTGTAGGTTTCTCTTCAGTCTCAAGAATTTAAAACCTGGGCTTAAAACCGAAAAGGTGTGGTTACTATTTCCCATCCCACAAATGAAAGAGGCTGGAAGAGTAGGCATGTGCCTCTGTCCTGATAGTCTCTCAGTATATAAAGTATATGAAGAGCCCTGCGTAAAGGTAAACATCCATGTCAACTAAAATAATGGACAAATTGCAGTTTCAGTTGAGCTTCTAAACTTCTTTAGGTACCTATTCCCTTTATATTTTAATATGAATTTTTTCCATATGTGGACTCATAAAATGCAGTCCATATGCATTTTATATCACACTGTAGTCATGGTAACTTCCAGCCCTTTCTTAAACAGCTGGTGGCAGGAATCCACTCTGCATAGAAGTGAATGAAAGTATGAAGTGAATGAAGAAGACTGAAATCAGGAGATCCCAAGGACTTGCTCAATGCTGGTAGAATTGTTGAATACACTTTAGCAAACCGACTCTTATCTTTCTAGGAATTTTGTTTTAACAAACTACTCTTTCCAGGAATACTGTTTTAACAAATAACTGTGTAAGGAGTATTTAAAACCAGCAATTAGTACTAAAAAATAGGAACAATAGCAACAAAAGCAGGTCTCCTGAAAGGAAGTGCTGCAGGCATAGAGTAAGCACTTGACAACCAAGATAGGATGACTGGGTGAGCACTATGTGCCCTGCCTTACTGAGAGGATGAATAATACCAACAAAGTGGATGAATAATCACAGCTGAGAGGTGAAGAAATCCCTTACTCACTGTCAGCCTTGCAGATTTAGTTTGGGAAAGTTTGAAAACATTTTAGAGCTGTAAAAACCTACTTTACTTTGAAGTCTTTCTTATAATAGTGTGTTTGGGCTGTCTTGCAGTCCTAAGGCACAAAACAAAAACAAGCAGACAAAAGCTACTAAGGTGATTGTCTGCTGCTACACTACTTAATTTTATATAGAAAAAAAATTCTACAATGATTCCTAACTATCTCCCCATTTAAAATGGTATCAGTGGCATCTATGAAGTATCAAAAACATTGAACTTGGAATAATGGGTCAGTCTGAAATAAATTCCATTTTGCTTCTCTGGTTTGCATGATCCATTTTCTCAAACAAAAAAAGCAATTTGTATCTCGTTCATAAACAGCAGCGCTGAGCAAATGCCATTCTTCAGGCATGCACCTTGCTGTACTCACAGTTTCCTCCCTTCCTTTGGCTTCCTTCAAACCACATTCAGGGTATAAACTATTTAACCTCACTTCAGGATGGGAAAGGAAGTTTTGTTTCCCTTGTTTAGTCCTGGCTTAGAAAGCAAGCCATTTGCCTTCACTGGGCTGTGTGCAATTGCATTTTTATCAAGACCTTCTTGCTGACTCTTGCATGAAGATGTGCCTGCTGCTTAAAACAGGTAAGATGTTCACAGACTTCACTCAAGTGCAGCTAGGTTAAAATTTTCCCTTGTAGGTTCTCTTGGTGAATGTAAGTTTGATTTATGGGATATATGGCCTTACCAGAGCTTGGATTTGGAAACTCCTGTAGTATTTTGAGAAGTAAAGAATGAATTAACACATCAAATACTTTTTTTCCCTTGCAGATAACAGCAGCGAAAAAGTTAGTATCAACAGCACTGGACTTGAATTATGGTCATTTTTCCTGTTGGAATAACCAGCATGTATTCTTGTTTTGCAAAATTATAGCTCTTACAGAGTTTTATAGTTAAATTTTGCAAAACAGCTTCAGCTTTTCTTAGTGAAGTAAATTATTTTGTCTGCATTGGACATGATGTGATTTTGCTATTCTCTGTGTTACATTTTGCAGCTTATTTTTATTCTACAAAACATTTGTGTGGTGTTTGTGTATTGGTGCATCTATGGTTCATTGGTGTTGGTAATACAACTAGTAAATGGTGAAATACAGTATAAAAATAACATTGCCTTGAGAATGGTAGAGTGAAGGGCTGGATTCTGAATTCATGCAGGAAATATAAAACTAACATCCATATACGTTGATTTGTGCATATTAGGATGTTAAATGATTAAGGTTTTATCGGCCTCTCTCCCTTTGCCTCAAGGCTGAGTTAAGGGAGAGCCTGTCTCATTGAATTTTCCTTTGTCTCTGGCACCACCTTGTTGCCTCAGCGAGTAATTACTAGTAGACTCTTACGCCTTAAGAGGGGAATAATAGGATTCACGAGAGAAGTCAGCAGGATTTTTCCTTTATACCACTTTCAAAAAAATGTGAAAGACTACTTATTTCACTGATAAAGTTGCTAGAATGCAGTAAACTGCATGTAAATAATTACATTTTCATGTATTTCCACACCTTTAACTACTGTTTTAATTTTTAGATTTTATATTTTGCTATTAACTCTTTAGATGCTTTACTTAATTTTTCTATGTACTTCTTGCTCTCCATCCTGGAAATACCACTGTCATTGTTTCTATGCTTCTCTCTCTGATGGTAACTTTGATGTGTGATACATGTACCTCAGTAATGCTGTGTTTCAATAAGTTCAGTGTCTTGATTTAATTTTATATCATATCTTTCACATTCTTTCAAGTATTAAGTATTCTTAATACTTGTAAGTATTTACTAATGCTTTCCATTGAATGGGCCTAATTCTTACATGTTAACGGTTAACATAATTTTTACTCATATTTTCCACCTTTCTTTACCAGAAATAGTTTGGACATTAAAAGTAGAATAAGGAAGTAGTGGCAAAAATAAAAGTGACTTTTAACATTTTGTTGGGTTTTGGATTTTAATAATTATTGGAGGTTTTATTTTTATGAGCTAGTTTTGCACAGCTTTTCTCCTGTAAATTATATAAAAATAAATGAGCACTCAGAGGGTCTTAAAGATGAATACTTTGGAATAACAAATGTAGAATTTAGGAGTAACTCATGCAGTTTGAGTCTTCTCTTCCCTTTCCTAAATTGATCAGTGTCATTACATGTTGTTTATATCACTTACTGAAACCAAAGCTTTAAAATTCTGTATTCTTGTCTGCCAGTGCAGGCATAGATAATAGCATGTAGGTTACTGTGGGGAAAATTGCCAGGTGAAACAATCACCCTACTTTATTGTCCTTAAAAGAGGGTATCTCCTCATTATGTTTTTAAATGACCTGGTTCTGATCCAGGCTTTGCTAAGTGCAAAAGACTTGGTGTGTACTGTGTGACCCTTGCACATGCACGCGGACGTGCTTTGCCTCTTGTGAGCCAAGGGGCACCTGATCTGAACTAGGTAGACTACCCTGCTTGACCGAAACAAATTCCCCTCTCAGCCCTGTAAGGAAATCCCTGTGAGTTTAAGGGAGTTCTGTGGTTTTAGTGGTAGAATGAGAATATCACTATTAATTGGATTTTGATTCCCCTTTTTCAAGGGGAAAATCAAAACTAATTCAATAAAATAATTTGCTGCACTTCTGTTTCAGCTTTCTGACTTTATTTCATGTTTTCTTTTTCTCCTTTTCCTGTTTATGCTGGGAAAACTTTCTCTTGCTGTCTTACTCTGTCATCTCCAAGGAAAAACCCACCCAAACGGTAAAAGTTTAAACATGTAAATGTCTCGATAATACTGTCTTTTACGGTTTCAAATGTTCTATCAGTGAAACAAGGAAAAATATTTCAGTCGACTTAGAGTAATTATAAAGCTGTGTTTTGTTCAGAGAACTGAATCTGTATTCAGGCTGGCCTGAACTGCTGCACTTCTGCCTTTAAAGGCAGAAGCTGCCTTTAAACAAAAGTCACAGTTCTGCCCATGTCTTTGTAGCTACCCAAACCTGGGTGGTCTCTGAAGCTTTTTCACTCAATGCTGTCTCTTCTTCTTGATGCAGCCCCCCACGGAAGCACATCGTGGACACCTACACGGAGTTTTACCACACCCCCACCCACAGCGATGCCAGCAAGAAGCGCCTGATTGAAGACACTGAAGACTGGCATCCCCGGACAGGCACCACCCAGTCCCGATCCTTCCGCATCCTCGCCCAAATCACGGGCACTGATCATAGTGAGTGGCTTGGTTTAAATGAAATAGAAGTTAACGACCTTGAACAGATAACTGTTTAAAAGCTGGGGGTGAGGGGAGGTGTTAAGAGGAAAATATTATTTTAAAACTCCTGTGATAGCTTAATAGCTCAGGGTATATACACTACTTTTACATTACTAGACACTATTCCTGATTAAGTTGAATTAATACATTCTAGGTAAATCTTAAAATTTCCATTTCTACTCCCAAAGATGTTGGCAGAAATGTATTTATTTGTTGTTGCTTTTCCCCCCTGTATTATAAAAATGGCAACATTCCTGTTCAAATTTTATGCTTAAAAAAATTAGGTGTTTTCTGGCATGTAGAAAGTCTTTGTCAGGCATACAAAAGTATGTGAAATGCAATGATTTTAACCAGTCAGAAACACAAATCCATAGTTCCTCAGTTAATCCCCAGGTTGTGTTTCCATCCTCTGCTTATGCTACGGTGTGATTACATGCATTGGTGGACTGGAACAGGTGATGTGGAGAAGGTTATTCCCAGTCATATAATTTTATTGTAGAACTTCAATTTCATGTTATTCTGTCAGCTATAATTCACTGGATGAGATTTGTGATTATTTCATTATGCTGCTTTTCTCAGCTAGTGCTGTAATAAAGAAGGCATTGAGGAAATTGGACCCCTTCTCTGGGGGCAGATTTTATTAAATCCACTATCTCTAGAAGCCAGTGATAACATGTCCCCAAACACAGATTCTTGTCCACGTGTGATAAATATTCTGAATTTGGACAGATTTCTGATTGTTTTGTTCTAACATTGCATTGTGCTACTCTATTAATAGATCATTGTCCATGTTCCATTCCCTTCGTTAGTCCTTGTAAGGGCAGAGTATGGACCTGAACATCAAATAACATGTTATCCAGTACAGATGAATTTATCGTGTTGACAAATGCTGTAAAAAATAACTGCAACTAGATTTGCCAGTCTTAAAATCAGGGCTCGGAATTTACATTATTCCTTGTGCAGACCTCTAGAGCCTTGATGGGTCATAGCCTAGCTGCAAACAGATGCTTGGATTATCACCTGATATAAACCCACTGGATGTTTGTCCAAAAGAAGTGCCTCTCAACTTCCATTCATCTTTGCCTTCTCAAATCACCTTTCTCGATGCCAGCATGGAGAGTGGGCCAAGGGAAAGGGCAGAGACCAGCAGAGCCACTTTTCAGCAATTCTACTATCAAAGGGGCTCTTGAAGTTTTACACATAACTCATGCTCATTGGGGGATATTTAGAATCAAGGAGTCCTAATAAGTGTTGTTGTAATTTCCTGCTGTGGTGAATGTATTGGCACAGGAGAAAATCTCAGTGTGGTGGTATAGTGTATTTAGCGCCTTAGAAAATAAAAATTTCCTGTTTTCTTTCAGTGAAAGAACCAGAAAATGAAGCTGCAAAGAAGACTAAGTGAGTTGATGTTTTACATTTTTATTACTTTAATACTTTGCATGTCTTAATTCTGAACTTGTAGTGTTTGGTGCATTTGTGTGACATCTGAATGTTTTTAAAATGTTGCTTCTTTTTTACCTTTTACTTCAGCATGTAAAAACCAAGGTCTTTTGCTCCATAGACAAACCTTTTTAAATCCGTTGGTGCAGTCCAGTAGTAGAGTTTGTGCAGAGATTTTCTGTAAGCTTGAACTGACTTGATTGTCTGTACGAGGTCAGCTTGCTGATGTGTTTTCCTAAGTCTAACGAGGCGTTTTTGATTTGCGAGAGTTCATCAGATTGCAAGGCATAGCTGGAAAGTGTTGTCGTTCTGGACTGCGAATGAGGGTCACTTGTCTCCTTGCTTTGGGATGTTATTCAAAATGAGCACCAACCAGGGGCTAAATCTTGTCATTCTTAAAGTCAGTGAGACTTTGACTAACATTGGATCCAACTTTTTGACAGAGAAGGAAACAAAGCTATAGGAATAGTGCATGGAGTTTGCATGCTCACTTGTGAAACTGCTTGAGACAAACTTTCTTTCTTTCTTATTTTTCTTCTATCACTTCTTTCCACAGGGAAAAGGTTCACAGCCACGTCATTAGCCCCAAATATACAAAATTACGTGACTGGCACCATGAAGTCTCAGCACGTGTTCTTAATGTCCAGTGATTTTACCCAAGTTGCAAAAGCAAAACACAAACGCTTCCTTCCTTTCTTCTTTTCCATCTGCTTTGCAAAAAAAATGAAAAAAAAAAAGAGAGAAAAAAGAAAACTTACTTCACTAGCCTTTCTGCAAGAGCAATTCTAGCCTTTTCTATACTTTTCTAACACTTTCCTACTGACGTGTAAAAAATGGGATGAAAATGTTTTTGTGCTAATCATTAGTTGACAAAAAATGTATTTAAAACAGAACAACTTGGGTGGCTGAATCTCTCTACATGGGGGAGGAGATGGCTGTTTCAGTTATTTTATTTTATTTTTTTTTTTGCCTGAAAGGAGTAATTTGCATTGCTGAGTTTCAGTTACTGTAGGCTGTTAGAAAGCAGAACATTTTGAACAAAAGATTAAGTAATTGTATTACCTTGATTTTGGGGCTGGGGGAAGAAGATGAAGAGGAACTGTATGCATTTATTTCAGACTGTCATACTTACCAGGACAATTATTTTGGATTTGACAAGCAGGTCAATTTTAGAGTGGTTGTAAATGTTTTCCAAAGTACAGCAAGAACACAGACTGCTTTTAAGCAAAGAAAAAATAAATTAAAAAAATATATTCCAATGTTGTGAATTGAAGTGAAAGCTCAATATAAGGATTCTGCTGCTTAGACTAGTAATATATTCATGTTTTGGAAAACTTTAAAAAAAAAAAGAATAATTGAGCACAATGTTGCTGTGTACCTGTAAGAGCTTAAACACAAGATAAGACAATAGTATTTATTTATTACAGAGTGAAGCTTATAGGCTTTCTTGTGTTTATAAAAGCTTCACAGCCCTATGGTTCTCCTGTAAAATAATGTATTATAGTAGCTACACATTCATTAATTTATGTGTTCTGAAGCTTGAAGAGTATTTTAATAAAAGTTGCTTTTATCTTAGCTCTGTCTGTTTTTCTTTTGAGTCTCTCAGACTCCTTGAGTAGTCTTCTCACACATGGAGCTGAAATTGCATTGCACCTTCACAGGTTATAGGAAGAAAAACAATTAAATCCCTGCTGCATACTGGAAACAATCTGAATAGTATAAAACTATCACAGGATTAGAGTTCCTGATCTACCAAAAATGGGGTATGAGTAAGAATTCTTCTGAATAAAACTCTCTTTTGTCTTTTGCAGTGCTTATTGAACCAGATAATATTTCAGACCTCAAAGGTGTAATTGTAAAGCATATAGAAAAGCCCAGTCTTTCTTAATTGCTCAATGAGAGCCATTGCAATTGGTTTGGTGTTTATGCAGCTGACCTACAAGTTCCTCTGATGGAATTAGTCATGTGAACAGATGCTTCTGCAGACTTTGGGAGGTTGTTTTTTTATTGCACAACTTGGGAACTTGAAAGGAGTAGAGACCTTTGGAGGCATATTAAGCCTGTGTTTCCTTTTCAGAGGGTTTATGCTGCTATACAGTACAGCAGTAGCTTATGGTATTTGTTATTTTATCTTTAGGAAAAGACAAACAGAAAATGGAGACTTCAGGTAATAGCCAATTTATCTAACACTAACAGTCACCAATGTGGATGCCTAACAATGCACAGCATAGAGATTTGCCCTGGTAATGATGGACCAAGGGATACCACACCTTACACACCTTTTGGGTTAACTCCTTAGGGACCTTAGGGGAAAATACTCACTTTACTATTTTCACTAAAGACTGTTTTGATGAGAAGTGCCAATCAGTTTGATTTTGCCCCCACCCCCGCATCACATAACTTGATAGTGAGTACTCTGTTACTAAACCCAAGTGTGTTACTGAGTGCACATACACCACAATATAATAATTTGATAGAATACTGCATATTAAAGTAGGAATGTGAAGTAGTGTATAAAATTGTTTTGCTGGATTTATATAATTTCTTTATGAATGGAAAGACAGGTGGGAGTTCCAGATAACACCAGTGCAATGAAAACTATGAAAGATTATCACTTAGACTCTCTGTGAAGGTTTCTTCTTAAGAGCAGAATGGTTTGACCTTCAAGTATTTGTATGTTTTGGGGATGTCCCTAGGTGGTGAGAATATTTTCATGTTGTTATTAAACTTAGCATTATGTTTATCTATCTCACCAGCTCTTATCGCTTTGAAGGGTGAATTGCTTTAGCAAGAAATAGAAGACCTCTCTAAATAATACAAAGAATAGAAACCTCTGATAAAGTCTGTCTTTTGAGGATATGGGAGTAGTTTGAGAAGGGCTACTAAAATTATTAGTTTTCCATAAATTCATAATAGAAAAGTCACTAGTTCCAAAAATGGTTTATGAATGATGAAATTAATTTCATTTACTGCTTTAAAGATGTAATTTCTTCACCCAATATCCCCATGCACAACAATTACTGGTGTTAAATTTTGGACTTTTTGTTACTGTTTCCAAAACAATGGGCCACTTTTTCATTTACTTGTGAATAGCATGCCCTACTCATGTCTGTTTCCCAGCACACATCTGTTCTTTGAAGAAATATTGTGAATGGTTTTTGATATAAATGAATAAGCTTAAATTTTAGGTATCTCCCAACAGTATGAATATGATAATTAGTAATATTCAGCTTTTCAGGCAGGCATTGTCCAAGGCAACTGTTCATTGTGGGATTTTATTATTGTTTATTTCTAAACTGTAAACTACTAGGGATTTTTGTGTGGGTAAAATAGATTTTTCTCCTCAGCAACTGGAAGGACAAGAAATAGAAGTAGAAAGCCCCCGCTGAAATGTGTAAATTGCAGCTTTTAAACCAGTTACTTAAAACTTAGAAAGGCAGTGTCTGACCTTTATATAAAGTTTATTTATGTGTTTTAGTAACTGTTTAGTCCTATTTTTGCAACACCGTATTTCCAAGTTTGTTTTAAATGTTTACTTTTAACCATCTCCTTTTGAGCATCCAGGTAGAGTTTTAGGTTTGGTCTTAAACCATAGAGTCAGTTCATTGTCCTGAGTACAGATATGTCTGGATTTTCCAGACTTGTAGTTTAGTTAATCCATAGTAGCTGGAAAATATTCATTCTACTCTTGGTCAGTCCTGAAACAACCTGTCGTAAGTCATGCATTTATTTTTTCTCCCCTGTGTCATAAATATGTGTAAAGCACACATGCAGATCTACCTGATGGAGCAGGAGCCCAGGATACCTGTATTAATTTGAATAAAAACTCCATAGCTACCCTGACTTTGGAGATGCCACGTACACCAGAATTACAATCCACATCTTTACCACCTATGAGGTCTGCTCCCTGGTCCTTCCTAAGTGTTCAATAATTTTCAGCACTTAAGGGTCCCTACTTGATTAAGATACTTGATTCTGCATGTTAATATAAGACAAAAAGCATGGCAGCAACATCTGCCCCTGTGGCTAATTTAGTCAGTTCAAAATTTGTTGCTGTGATTCCTCTCTACACTGTAGTTTACTTTTATTTTTGTGTATTACAGTGCTATGTCTGATATTTACTTTTCTTCAAGTAGAGAGCTTTAAGACAGCATTTTCTGGATTTGGGGTTTTTTCCTATCACAACTGAATAAAAGCATATGAAAAATATTGAGAAATATATAGTCTAACCTTCACAGAACTAACACCCCAAGAAAGTTGTAGAAAGAAGCATATAAAGCTCTAAAATACTACTTGGCTTTCTGGGTTTAAAGACAGCAGGACACTCTCAACCTTCACTGAAAGCGTGATACTTCCTAAGTGTATTTTGCATTATTTTATACCCCTAATTGTATTTTACTGAAAACTCCATGGTGTTTTTGATGGGGTTTTTTTGACGGGGAGCTGGTTGTTTTTTTGGTTGATTGGGTTTTGGGTTTGGGGTTTTTTTTTGGTTTGGGTTTTTTTTTTCTTTTTTTGATATACTAACACTTTCATGCACATTGTTTCCTGTTCTACATACTATTTTACTGTGGATTAAAAATCTCTTTCTCTGTGTGTCTTCACTTGGTTTTATTACTGTGAATGGAGTGAAAACAGTGCTAAACCAGAACCTGCAGCTGCTCTTTTGTCGATAGCAGATTCCTGCCCTGGCAGTGTCCCCTCTCCCAGACTTTCTGAACATGTAGCCACAGCAGCTCTTGGGAGGTAAATTATTCATGGAGGGGTTGATTCAGTTAACCGTCTATCTATATGTTCTAGCCTGGATTTGTCTGTCTTGGAGGAGAGATGGTTGTTTGTCATTAGCTTAAAATAAACTTCATTAATCTGCTGTGACTAGGGATTTTCCTGGAAATGGTAGGAGGGGGAAGAAGAAAAATTAAATAAAGCTGAGGAAATTCATGAGCAGTCTCATGGACACCAGTTACAGTAAGACACAATATTTAGTATGTGTACATTGTTGGTGGGTGCCCACCCTACCACTTGTATGGAGTAGCTTTTCAGTGGTCTCAACAACTTAAAAGTGAATATGGATTTAAAAATATAAAAATGTGTATTAATTTTATAACACTGTGCTGTGCTATGATGCAATCAAAGAAACTATGGGATTATCTGTAAAATTTCCTGTCTTGGACTGCTTTACTGATACTTACCTTGGCAGATTGGTGGTGGTTTGGGGATCATCTATGAGTATTAGACAGTGACAGTAATTTGGAGAGTTATGATGCTCTTATTGAAGGTCAGTAACATTTTCTGATGGGTTGTGTTTCATTGTGCAGGAGTGTTTTTTAGTTCCAGGTAGCTAGTGTTCATTAAACATGCACAAGCACAAAGTTATAACATGAAACAAAGCTGTTCCTTTAAAAATAAGAATTAAATTAACAGTGTCTGGTCCTTCCAGGCCCCTAGACAGAGACTCATGCTTTTGTAAAGCATATGGAAACATACTATTGCCTATACCTGTGTGGGCTTTCTTCAACTAGAAAACTAGTACTAAGATTTGGAATTGACAGTCCCACCTTTAAAGCAGTAATCTCAACTAGCTGAGAGGTGAGGAGGAACCTGACATAAAAATAAAAGTCTATTTGGTTGTCTTTTGAAGACTTTTTGTTGTCTGGGAGAAGCAGGTACCTCCATGAGCTAACGTGACAGTAGGCAGGAAGGGATGGTGGATGATGGTGGGGTGGGTACCTTCATGGTAACCTTTGGTTTGAACCAATACAGTAAAGAAGATTTGGTTGGGATCTTTCAGCAGCACATTCTCTCAAATCACCAAAGATGAAAAATACACACAGGAGATGTATGGCAATACTCCTGGTGAGGAATTTTATTTTAGCAGAAAACCTGGGATGAAGAGGGGAGGGGAAAAATTACTGCTTCAATAATTGATTTTCATGTCTACCAATGAAACTCTAGTATGATTACATCTACTTGCCCCATCCCTGAAAGTATTCAAGGCCAGATTGGATGCAGCTCTGATCAGCCTGGTTTAGTGAAAGATATCTCCACCAACTGCAAGAGGGTTGGAATTAGAGGATCTTTAGGTCCCTTCCAACCCAGACCATTCTATGATTCTATTGAGCTGCAGAGATGCCTTGCAGATACCACAACAACTACAGTGTTCTGAGTACCAAGGAGTCTTTTCTAATCCTAGCTCTGTATTTGAGTCCAACAAAAGGAAATTTAAAGCTTTTCTCACTCAAAACGTATGGTTCTATATTTATTATTTGGCAAAATTAACCTAGCAAGAGGGCAACTTCAACATGAGAAATCAGAAATAACTGGTATGTTCATGGTGGTTCAGGATGAGAACCAAAGTACTTATACAAATAGTCAAAAAAGTAGATTGTAAGAATTTTCTGCTCAGGAAGGGCAGAAATTTGAGCAACTTCTTCAGAGCTGTAGAGGAAAGGTTTAGCATTGAGTGTGGGAAGGAGAACATAAAATATTTGATAAAGCTGTGTATTCTTGATTGTCTCCTGAAGTGAGACAAACAACTATATTTGATGTTAATGTTTTTTACTGAGCTCATGTTGCTGCTTTTATAATGCTCTTTTGGGTGGGAATTAGAGCAAATCTGATCCCCAAACCCCCTTTTTACAAAATGGCAGCTATTGGAAATTTGTATGGAGCAATTGGTGAGTGCCATGTCAGCAGCTCAGGTCAGTAGACTTTCTCTTGCTACTGAAGCCTTGCATTTGTTGTCAGTGACTGGCATAGGTCCTTGTTTTCCTAATGGGCTCCATCTCTTCTTGGGTGAAGCTCTGTGATTTGTGCCACCCACTACTAAACCACCAAGAAGGAGAAAGCTTGCTGGGAAATGTACGAAGGATCTGGATTTGATTATTAGATTAAAGTTAAGTTCACTGCTTATAAGGCAGACCTCGTAATGCCTTTTTACTGTAGTTTTAGTTCTTTATAAAAAGCCTTAACTAGTAGTATGGCAATATAGCCAACTGCTATAGTTTGTAGTGTATTATTACTCTATTCCATATGTGTAGTGTCCTCCTGTAAGTTTAGCAGTAAAATATTTAAGAGCAATTACAGCCTTTCCAGAAAGTTGCAAAAAGTCATCTTAAAAAGTGATCCTGGCAACCTTAGGCCATGTAAATCACAGAATCTGGCACTTCCTGGGAAAATACATAACTGATGTAAAGCAGATGCAATGCCAGCAGGTTGTTAGATTGCTTTTTTATATACATGCTTTTTATGGTCATACAGACTTATATTTTCTTTTAAAGGAATTATGCCTGATATAAATACAAAGACGTAGTATTAGATAGTAGGTACTAATCTTGATTTTTGTTGTGTCGACTTTCTGAAAAGTCGACATCCAATATTCTCTGCAGAAATCTCCAAGAGTAATTTCTTAGTCCTTTTCTAGCTACTGCCAAATCAAGTGAAAAATGGAAACACGTTTATATGCAATGTTAGTATAAATAAAACTTTGAATCAGCTTGTTCTTTCTTTGGAGCATATACTATGTGTGACTTATGCCCCTTGTCCTCATCTTCTCGAGACCCTTTTTATGACTTGTAAAACTTCATATAGATGCTGTGTGAAGTTTTGGAGAATTTGAGGTCAGCTCCAGGAAAGGGTAGAATCTGTGCATGCACCTGTTTTGTTGTGAATTGTTAACTGCTGCTGTAGTCTCTTCAACTTAAACAGGTCTCCTTTTTGACAGGTTTGACGTTTCTGCATTAGTTTTGCTAAACAACTTCCCTCAATTGTTATCATCATGGAAAAGGGAGTTTGCAAAATTAGCATCAGGCTGGGGAGGAGATCTAAGGCTGACCAAAGTAAAACTGTCAGGTCTTTAATGGTTGTTTTGGTTTGATGACAACCAAGAGGAAGTAAGATTTGGGGGAGAAATCTTGCTTTCTTTTGAATGCTACTTTTCCTTCTACTTCCTTTTATTTCATAGAACTTTTGTTTGGGAACCTTTTGGAAGCCTTACCCATGTACACCTCATCTCCCTTCAATTTTTTAGATTTTAAATACCAGCTGCCAGGTAGCCACAATGCCTAAAGGGCCATCTACTTACACTAAGTAGAGTTTCTAATATACAACTTGCTTTTCAAGTTTGTTGTCTTTTGAGTAACTACTTTAAACTACCCAAATAGTTTGGTTTTGTGGTTAAAAAAGTGTTCAAACTTCAGCTGTGAAAATGCCCCCAAAATTGGTTTCATCTGATTCCTAGGGAACGAGTATTTGCTTCCTAGAAAAGAAGGAAAAAAAACCCTCACCTGCTACCCACTTATTCTTCTTACAAAAGATGCAAGAACATGAGGTAGAAAGAGTTGTCAATTGCTGTTTTGTAATTTTAATCAAATGAGAGACTTTTTCTCTGTATTTTGTCTCACTATTACTTGTGAAATTAACATCAACTAGGCAAATAGCTGTGGAGTTGCCTGCTCCGGATGCAGCAAGCTTGTTGCCAGCTGATAAAGCACCTCATCCCCCCACGAAGTGTGCTGTGGCCACACAGACCGCTGAGTTCCCCCTGCCTGCCAACCCGGTGGGGTGGCCGCCTTCTGCAGCCCCGTGTGTTGAAACAGTCCTTGGGCTACCTCCTGCTCTTGCCAGGTATGTCCAAGCCCACCTGCTTTAAAGGCACGATCAGAAACTAATTGTAGATACAATGAAGCACAGAATAGTTTGGTTTGGAGGGACCATAAAGATCATCTCGTTTGAACCCCCTCTTGCTGTGGGCAAGGACACCTTCCACTAGAGCAGGTTGCTCGAATCACCATCCAACCTGGCCTTGAACATTTCCAGGCTTGGGGCGTCCACAGCTTCTCTGGGCAGCCTGTTCCAGTGCCTCACATCCTCACAAGGATTGCTTCCTAATATCTAATATAAATCTCTCTTTTAGTTAAAGTCATACAGTTTCATCTGATTTTTTGATGATGATAATGTCATGATGGAGCAGTTTATACGTGTCTCCTGACCCTCTGACAATTTACATAATAATTAGAAATTCAAGTAGCTTTTAGGCGAAAGTTAGAAAAATAATCTTAAAATTAAAGCAGTTTAATGGAGGAGGAAAAGCAGTCATGGGTAGAAGGACTTTGTTGGCAGAAGTTGGTGATGTGAGGAGAATGTATAGTGTCCAAGAGTGGAAGAAGGTTTTGGGGGTAAGGCACAGTGTGCATATTGGATGGTGCTTTGATATTCCCCATCTTATTCACCTGACCTTCAAAGGTTAGTCACACTTGCTACAGAGTTTGTGTTTTTAAATTGTCCAGTAGCCTAAAGTTTTTTTTGAGGAGAACACAAAGCATTAACTTGTGCAGTGATGGGACATCTGCAGTATAGTGTTTACCAGTAGTGAAAGAAAGTACTTCCCTCCATAATGAACACTACAAAGTATTAAACCGTAAAATGGTTTGCTTTTTTTTGGGGGGAGTGTGGTTTTGTGGGGGTTTTTTGGGTTGTGGGTTTGGGTTTTTTTTTTGTGTGCAGGGTTTTTTTTGGTCTTTTTTTTTTGGCTGTTGTTTTTTATGGGTAAGGAGGGCTTTTAAAAAAAACCTTAAATTAGCTCTGCCTGAGGTTTAGTTAGCATTGCCAGAGATGTAATAAGTGTTTGATTAACGACTTTTCTTCTCTTGCTGCTTTTGGGCAGGCATGAAGCATCTCTGCCTACTTGCGAAGCAAATTCTTTCAATAAAATCTCAAGCTTTCAGTCTAAATCATCTATAAGTCATACAAGGTAAATCTTCTAAGGTATATCTACAGCAGACTGCTAAGTGTAAGCAAGGTATTCAGGCACTGGTTTTGCATTTAAATCTGAGAAGTGGTATATAGTTGTGCGAGTGTTTGGAGTGTTCTGTTAATTTCTGTAGTTATTTTAAAAAAATATACAGCAATTCAGTGGGTAATCTTGAAATTTTAAAATAAGAACCTGAGTTACAGATTACCAAGAGTAGAACTTATCTTGAAGCCAGTCTAATTTTTTCAGATTTTTTTTTTGTTCTGTTTACATTCATTTCCACCCATATAATAAGTAGGGAAAATGAAAAGGGGGTGAGGGGCATGGATCTGATGAAACTATATCAGCAATATTCCCAAGTTTTCTGTGTTTACTATTTATTATGAAAAAGAGGAGAAGGTAAATGATCTTCAAGGCTTACTCTGCCCACACCAGGAAGGCTCGCATGGATCCACATGGAGTGTTCTGGGGCCTGGTTCAGTGGGAATGACCCAGGGGTGCGAGGCAGGGTCTAGGATGTGGAATTTGAAGGCTGACAGATGCTAAATGCTCATGTGGTGAAGGGAAACTTTTATTTGTGGTTGTAATCAAAATGGCTGTTTTCTCTATTAGTATTCAAGTGGCTAATACACTGCCTCACATCTCTGTGAGCTGAAAACCTACAATCGCACAACTTTCCAGTGGTTAAATGTGGTCTGGTATTGTACTGTATCTCTGTCAATCTTTCCTGCTTTCTCTCTTTTCTCCTGTGTTGGCTCAAAGATTCTGTGCTACGAAAGTGCTGCAGGAAAATCCCTTGGGAAGTGTGCCAATCCTTGGACCCACTCCTCTTTCGGTTCTTTCTCCTTTCAAGCAGAGATCAAAAATTAAGAGTGTGGCTGCTGCTACTGTGTCTGCTGCTCTTGCTGTTCGGGCCAGGTAGACATAAACTTTAAAAGGAATGTTTTTTAGCTTGGATTAAGAAAGTTCAAGTTTACACAAGAGTAACTGGTCCCTGGCAAGGTTGTGAAATCAGCTCTTTCACACTAGTGTCGTGGGCAAGTCATTAGAATATGTCCAACGCTCCCATGCCCTATTTTTATCTTACCTCCAGACTGCCACTCTGAGCCTTGGTGAGTAATTCTACCATTCTGTTCCTCATGATACCTGTTTTACAGTTCAGTTATTAAATTAACTGTAATTTATTTGTGTTGCATGGGTGACAAAGAATAATCTGTGTCACTGAGGAACTTTTCAATGCTTAAAAACAACTCTCTGAGTTCCATCTAAGTCTTTACTGTATTGCTTTTTATAAAGGCTTGGTGAGACTAAAATTTTTGACAGGTTTTTCAATCATCCATTCATATTAGTAAAATATTTTTGATTATGAAATAATATTATATTTGTGTTTTTCTAAATTACATAGATAACCTAATGTACTAATAAATTATGTACATTATAAAGCATACACAGAACCATAAAATTAAAAAGGACGAGAAAGAATAAATAAGTGCTATTTTCCAATTTTTATTTTACTTTATTAATGGTTAAAAAAAAAAGTAAATTCTTCTCACACCCTAGTGGGTTGTCTTGTCCATCCCCTGAAGTGTGCAACGTCCACTTTGTGGACTTCTTGTTTGGGCATAATTCCTACATCAGTTATCCCTGGCTTTCCGTACGGGTTTTGAGGTTTTCAATGGTCCCAGCCAACTTGAACTGTGTGTGATCACCTAGTTTGTTTATGGGGTCTTTTTAAACGCTTGCTAGACTCTTCGAACCTGGTGTCTACCACTCGCTCTTGGATGCCCTGCTCACCACACCTGTCGCTAAGCCTCCTCTGCAGGCTATTGGACCCTCCAGGAAGTCCATGAGTGCTCTGGAGTTGCCAAAGAGCAGGAGGTATTGTCTGAGTGTGGTGCACGGTTGGCACTTGGGACTCACAAGAAACCAGCTTCTCTTTCAAGGCATGTTTGTGTCGTCTGCGCACTTGAAGCAGTGTGCCCGTTCTGGTCTTTGACACGAGGTCACCAACCCAAAATCCTACTGATTTCACCCCTTTGCAGAACTAAGCTCCACTCTGGTCCTGCTGATGGTGTTTGTGTAAGTCCACTGTACTAAGTGAAGTTTTCCTCACAAGCATCAAGTGCCCTTCTAATATGCATGGTGCTGTTTGTGTTGTGTTGTGAACCTCCAAGAGAGGCACCATCACCCCAAATAGCCAGCTGGAGAAGAAACAAGATATTCTGGCTTGAAACCTCTATCCAGGTGAATTATTTCCAACATTTCCTTAAGCTAGTAAGCGATATGTTGGGCTGCAAGGGTGCTCCAGGAACAAAGAGCTGCTATTTTTCAAAACTCACTTGTAATGAATAAAATCAAACAACTCGCATGCAGTCCAGCAAATCACTATTTTAAAAATTATTTGCTGTCTAGGCCCTTTGTTCCAGCGCTGATTCTGTTCAGTGCACAGGACTGTTTGTTCTCATTTCCTGACCGCAGCTACATTAACTCTTGCTTAAGTGGAAAGCTGCAAAGGCAGAAGTCAATTTGGTTATTTTACAGGACAGTATGTATTAAATTGTGCTAAGGAAGAAATAATTTGTGAGGGTTTATTTGCATTTTCACTAGAGTTGGACTCTTCTAGAGATAAAGGCCAATTATAAGTAGAGCTGAGATCCACTTGCTGTAGAATCTTCTTCTGAGTAACAAGAATTAGTTCTTTCCCTCCTGTTAATGTATTCCAAGGTGGCCTCAGTCACTAGGAAAGGCTAAAGTATCCCTAACCTTGGCGAGGGGAAATAGAAGTTTATTAGGCACAGTCTTTAGTTGTATCAAACTTTCTAATGTTGTGGTATATCCACTTCAGAAAGAACAAAAAGGACCATTAACAGAATTGTAGTGATATATCACAACTTTTGAATGCTAATTTTATTTTTACCACTGAATGATACCTGCTAGAAAACCTTTTTATATGCATGTTAAAAGAGAAAACCTCTCCAAGAGTTCTGATAACCTGTCTGTGCACTACAGGTGAAGCCCAGGCCATGCTGCCAGCAAGACTTTATTCTTTAGCTGTGTTGTTTCTTTGGTGATACTTTAGTAGAGCTAAGTGGTGGTGAAAATGAATTATCTGACTTCCCCTTTCTTTCTTCCTTCACTCACTAATGTGTGTTGTTTATGGCATAAGCTGCAAGTACAGGTAAATTGTTACATGAATGGAAACTTTCTCCTATATGTTTATCCATCGTTTGCTCACCATATGGGGAGAAATTGTCCTTGTTTTGAAGGTTTTTCTTTGGAGATGCACTCAACTCGCTTCTGCTAGAAACATGAGATTCCCAAAGTGGCTCCATTCTGTTGCTGTCACTTACAAGTACATGGGACTGTCTGTTGGGAAAGGCAGGAAACTTCTTTCCTTCTTCCATTCTTCCACTTGTTAAAGTCCAGTTTTGGAGAGTTTTAATCTGTTTTGCTCCTCCAACTGACAGAGCTGGAGAGAGATGTGCCAGGGAGCCAGAAGGTATACTGGGAGTACAGAGGCCATTTAAGCCTTCTTAAAAGACCATATCAGTATTGTATCCAGGTTGAATTGCTTGAAATAAACATACATGGATTATTAGGGTGTTTTAAAGGTAATTTTGAAACTTGTGAAAAATTAAAAATTAATCTTCTCTTAAGCCATTGCAATAGCTTGTCCTGGTTCATAAGGTCATAAGGGAAGCATATAATTTTCAGGCTCTTAGGGACACCCCAAGCAGGGTATGACGTGAAACTTGGGAAAGGTTATGTAGCAATACAGTTAGTCCAGAGAATGTTGTGCATAAACTGCATTTTTTTAAAAGGATTTTCCCCAAAATAGCTGGTGTTGATCTGGAGATTTCATACAACACATAAGGGTAATGATTTCTGGTTTCCATATGATCATCCTTAGTCCCAAGCTGCCAGCACCAGAAAGGCAACCATTAGATGAACCCAAAGAAATGAAGATTTGTGCTGTCTTGTCCTAGTAAATAAAGGAGCACAGTTTTTATTGTATGACTTGAGAAACATGTAGGAAAAGGAGATAAAAGAAGATAAATGTAGTATCAGTGATTTTCTCATTGAACTTCAACAAAGATCAAGCAAAACTAATTAATTATGTCAGAAAAAAAATAGATTGGAGAGAAATTTACTCATTCACTGTGAGAAACTAGGTATTAAAATGTCTTTGCGTTACAGACTATCTAATGACATGTGTATACAAATGTAATGCTGAAAAGTTGTTTTAAATGGCAACTCACTCGTCCCACGATGAAATAGTTGATAAGGAAGGAGAGCTGGAATTTACTGTCCCCTATACTCACCAAGGGATGAGTATATGACAGTATACAGTAGATTGTCTTGTTCAGAAAAACAATTGGCTCAGTCAAGAAAGCCAAGTAAATAAACTGCTTTGGAGTTTGTATTTTCTGGCTCTATCTTGTATAACTTTCATGAAAAGGTAATGAATCTATTTTAAACAAGGTAGCTTAGGCTTCTTTGCATTATCTCTGGGGAAAAACTCAAGAAGATTGTAGCTCTAACAAAAACTGCGTGTTGATTTTGTTCTGCAGTAAGGTTGCTCCAGAAATATTTCCCTTTTATCCCTCTCACTTCACCATCTGCTCCAAAAAGCTGTCTGTCTTAAACTGCTCTGTACTGCGTAACTGCCAGAGAACTTGACCTTTTCCTGACTTAGTAACTGGCCTCAAGTGGTGCTGAACATCCACACATTTTCTTCCCCACCAGACTCCTCAGTAAGGGCCTTTTTTTGGATTTATAACAACCATGAAATCTTTCACTGAGCTAAGTGTTTCATCCTGATGACAACAGAGATAACCTTAAGTTAATGGAGCTTGTGTGTATTTTAACAAACAACGCATATACAGCAAAGGAAATGATGTATGTAATATCTTCCATGTCCAAGAGTTGGAACTCTGCCTTAAAAATAATTGCAAGGCAGAAGCACTGGGAAATTTTGGGAAACACCAGCAAGAATGGGTGTTGACATGGCTTTTGCTTTTGATGTGACTTTTGGTTTATCTTCCTGATACTATGTCACATACAACTCTTTAGAAAAATGAAAGTTTGGCATTGTGAGATGAGCACTGGTGTTAACTGAGAGAAACTTATTCTCCAAGACACTTTGAGTTGTTTCTGTTAGAGCACTGCTTACAGAAGGGTTACTGGTCCCTCCCTGTAACTTGATATGGAAATAGCCTCCACCCAGATGAATTTCTCTGCTCTTTCTTTTTGTTTCTCTATTTTGCATTTCTTCTGTCTTGAATATTACTGGAGCACTGTTAGGTTAGCATGAAAAGGAAACACTGACTGAGACTGTGAGTTTGTAGTATGGGTGGGAACAAGGTCAGCACTCAGTGTTTCTCGTCTTTTATTTCTCTATTGTTACACTGGAAAACCCTTGCAAAAAGGTGTGTGTATTTCCCCTGTTCATGGAGTTTTGTCATAATTCTCATTGATACAAATGTTTTTAAAAGTTTGTATTAAAAAAGTCTTCCCCCCCACACACACCTTTAGTGCTATGTCAAGCATTGTGTGTATAATTTATAAGGTATTTGTTCAGATTTCTGCAATATGCTCGATGTCTGCTTAAGGGGTTAAGAGAGAGCCATCAGGCAGCAATATGTAGTGCAAGCAAAGTCTTATTTTTGTTAAACTATTTTGGCTTTAGAACACATAAAGGAGAATCAAGGCTATCATATTTTACTTGGTTGTGCCAGAAACCAGTAAGAGTGATTTGCTCACTTTTGTTGTTGTTGTTATGTGTGTGTCTTGTTTTTGTTTTTCCTTTGAACCTGCTTGGGAGAGAAGCTTGAGTTAGCTTTTCTAAAGTTTGTTGAAAAAATTCTGGGTGGCATTATATAGGAGTATATATCAATAAAAGGATGGAGGTAGGTTTAGGCATCTATAGTCACAGACCATGAGTTTTTCTTTTCTGTTTTTTTTTTTTTTTCCCCATTTTTTTTTTAAGGGACAAGAGTGGGGGGATGGAGAGGCAGAGTATCAAAACCTCTAAAGACATTCAGAAGGATTTTCCAGTGCAAATTTCTTAAAATACTCTGAAATGTGTTCACCTTGGTCTCTGAAAAACTGGTGCTTATTTCATGTGTGACCTGGGCCCACTTCCTCCCACACAGGAGGAGGAATTATTACTTCTTCTAGGTTTTTTATTTTTTGCCAGATTCCACAGTGCTTTTGTTGATCAGGAGAGGGTAAGTCTGGGGAGCCTTTTGTGAGCTCAGGATAAAGTTCGCACTGGCATGGGAGCCCTGTGTGTGTCCCCAGGCCTCAGAGTGGCTCCCCAGAAAGTTGTGTGTTTTCCATATACGTACTTAATCTGATAGAAAAAGGCTGCACTTTGTGATAGGAGTTGTTCTCCATGGAGCAACAGTGTCTGTTATGTGCAAGCTAGCATATGTAAAAGATAGAGAGGCGTTTTTGGCTTGCTTCTTTGCCATGAATCTTTCTGGGGCTGTTTTAGCAATCTGTTTCCCTTGCAACTCACTTCCAGAATTATTCCTGTAGCTTATTAATCAAACTTCTCATAGGTTTTCAGGATGCAAGACTGAGTCTATCAGACTCCTTGTTTCACCATTCCTTCATTCTTGCACTGCTAAAACTCCTTGCCCAAAGCTTGAAAGCAGAGCATTCCCATCTTGCAAGGAATGTTGTCTTGCAGGGATGTGACTCTTGGTTGCATTAGTTTTTGTCATGGAAAACTTTCATTTTTACTGTAAGTATTCATCAGCTGAAGGAGTTGTTCAGAGTTAAAATGTTAATGGTAGAGACAGAAGGTAGGTGTGTCATTAATAATAGTTCAAGTGTTCGGATATCAAAATGTTCTTGACCTGAACCTGACCAGTGAGTGTCAGCTGGAAAGTCTGAGAAAGTACTCACATGGAACTTGGTAAATACATAAGGTTTATCATTCCTCCCTTGGTTTCCTAGTAATGACACTGAAAAGCAGATGGGAGCTCTCTTCCATAACCTGTTAATGTCCTTGAATTTCAGTACATATTTTTGTCTTTTCAAATCATGCAGTTTCTAGATAGTGAAACTTGGGTCATCATTGCACAATATCCCAGTGAGTTACAACATATTAGTGGGGCTAATTGTGGGTATTGTACAGCCACTTTGTAGAAGGTAAGTGTGCTTCTAAAAAGATCCATTGCTATATTTATAAAAGATGTATAAAAATAATTGGAATTTACGTGTTTCTTAGTGTAGAAGAGCATAAAGTAAAATGTTGAGGATTTAATTTTACAGCATGAATTTGAAGCTGAGCATTTCAAAGGTTGAACCTCTCATGAGGGAGATGCTGCTGAGGGAGCAGCATGTCTTTGAAAGCAAGACAGAGATGGACCTATCTTTCTACAGAGAACACTGCCTGTGCACTCTCAGGCAACTGTGATTGGAGGCTGTAATTCAGGAAAAATGGTGGTGTCTTGAGTTTATTCAGCTCTTTTTTGAAAGAATCAGATAGAGTAAAAAGGCTGTCCAAGACCTGTCAGGAGTTTTGCCTTGAGGCCAGCATGATCCTCTTTGTCAGAGTAATGACTTCAAGATTTTCCCTTGGGAAGCTTCTTGCCAATATAGGCTCCTGGCACATAAGCTGCCAGAGGTGATTAAAAAAAAAACAAAACCACAGGTAGTTTATACCTGTAGTTAATTGTCTTTTAGTTTGGGGTCATTATGATTTTACTGAATTTCTAAATGAAAGCCGAAGTGTCTCCAATAATCTGCTGCTTCAGGAGATCCCCATATCACCATATGCTTCACTGATCCCCATTCACTTAAGAATCAGACTCATTGATCCTTGTGGATCCCTTCCTATTCAGAATGTACTGTGAGCTAGCATGCCCTGTCATTCACAAGCCTTAGAAATAAACCACAAAAATAGCAATAGTAGAGTTTCCAGTCAGCATTGCAATCAACCCTCTGGGCATGTGGTCAGTCTACTTCCTCGCCACAGGGTACACTTTTTGATTGTCTTACATCTATTTTTGCTTGTCAAGTAGCCTCTTCTGTACAGGACAGTTGCTGACTCAGCAGGATTTCCTTATTTATCATAGATGATTTGTATTATTTATGATTTATGTGTTCCAGACAAAGGCAGTAAAGAGGTGCTAGACTGGAAAAGAAATTTGACAAGCAGTGATGAGTGTCTTGGATGGAAAAGGAGGAAACTTTCTTTTTTTAGCACCAGCAGTGTTAATGAGGAATTCTTAAAGTTGCAGCAGGGCTCTGGCCTGGAATGGGTTTGATGGGTTACATGTCAAATATACTTAGTACAGGATGTTTCTGTAACTATGAAATTGCAGATGCACCTTTTTTCGTAGTGAAAGCCAGTCCCAAACTATCTTTGGCTACTGAGCTGATACTTCACATCAGAGGATGTTTCCTTATCCTTTTTCTTTCAGTCTGCAATAGCACTTTTATGCAGTGTATTTCCACTGCCTCGAAATCTGCCATAGTAAAGACTTGTATCCTAAGCCTTTAAGAAGACTAATGTGTTCTTTCAGGGCCTCCATTTGCACTGTACAAATGTCTTTAAATATATTTTTAGCATTTTAACATAACAAAAAGCAGGGTATCACTTTGTGCTTCACTGGGCTTGTGCACACTTTATATAGAAAATCCATCAGTGTACGTTCAGCACAGATACCACTGTTACCGAAAGCCTACAATCACAGTAGCTGTTACTCATTAAACTGAGCATTCAGATATATTCTCTAAACTGTGAACAATTTTTTTTATCCCTTGCCCAGAAGAAGATTCGAACTACATGAATTATTTACCCTGTAAATCTAGAGACAAAAAAAAAAAAAAAATCAAGGTTATGAACTTGTGTTTTGGCCTCATGTTGTGTTCAAGTTCTTGCATGTTGTATGGGCAAGGCCATATTGTACATGTGCAGCACTTATAAAGTAAAAACAGGTCATGGATTTTTACTTTATGAGCTTGGCACAATCTATAATTCGGTGAATGACCCCAGTGAAATAAGCATGGTGCACATGTGCTGTAAATTTCTTTTGCTTCAATAGAGGAAAGAATACAAGGCTTCTAGTGTGTTAACTGATGGGTTTTCAAATTGTGCAAAATATGTATTTGGAATGGTTTGGGCTGTATTTTGCAACATTGTCGAGTTAATTTCCTGGTTTTGTGGTCCTTTTAGTTTGCAAATAACCTTCATTAGCAATTGCTCCTCTACTTTGAATATTTCAAATGAAAATATTTGTTTTCAGCTTCCCAAAGGCAAGTGAGAAATGAAAAATTTTCTTGTTGGCAACATAATTAGTGGCTACTCCACCTGAATTGTGATTAAGTTTAGTTTTCATCATGTGTGTTTTTGAAGAGCTAAAAGAGTTCTTCTAACCCTTAAAATTTAAAAGCAGCTGTAAACTACTTTAAAAGAAAATATAAAATATTGTGCACATTGTTTAATGAATAAAGAAACTTACAACTCTTTTGAAATACTTAATCGTTTAGGGCAGCACTGGCCCATAGAACAACATTACATTTAATTCAGTCACTTTTAGATTGATGATATTTATTAAGATGTACAAGTATAGTCTGCCTATATGAGTGTTTGCCTAGTTTCCAAAAGGTATTGAAAATGTTTGGGAGTGTACCAAATTTACAGCAAGTGTTCTACTTTAAACTGTATCATGTCGACACTTAATTATTTTAAATGGAAATTGTGAAGGGATTTAGTTGACTGTATTGGCTTCTGGCAGACATTACTCAAGTGTCAACTGTCCGCTCATTAAAAAACAGTTTGTTGGTGATGACAGAGCAGTGGGTGCTGCTTTGTTGCAGCAGGGTGAGGGAATGTCACTCCACATCTCCCTTTCACAAATTCCCTTGCTCTAGCAAGAGGCATTTTATTTATTCTTCCCTTGTTTCTGAACAGTGATTCCCTGGAAGCCACCCAGCCCGCTGCTTTTACGGCCACCCCGGTGAGGAGCGTGCCTGCTTGCCAAGACAACGCGGATGTGAGACCTGCTCCCGCCAACACCACATCTGCTGCAGCCCTCAAGCCAGTGGGACCCCTGGGTTCTGCCAAGGGCTGGCAGCCTCCAAACCAAGCAGGTAACTTTCAGAGAGGCTTTTTCTTGTTTGCCTAAAGAACTTTGGATAGCTCAGGAAAACATACTTCACCTTGGGTGTAAAAATAACAGGCTTCAAATGGGCATTTGTGGGTTTTGAGTACAGGCCGGTTTGCTTACAAAGAGGATAAGAAAAACCAATTTAACCATTTTAGTAAACCAGTAGCCCTTGTAAGTTGCCTCATAGATGTAACTGGTTTCACAAACAAGCAAAATCAGATGTCTCTGATTTCTATTAAAAGCATTTATACCAATCATTATGTATTTATACACCTCACAGTTTCAGCTTGGTGCTTCCCATGTGATTGTAAATTCAAGCATATTCTATGCAGTTTCAGTGTTGGGAATATCAAAAGATGTGTTTTCGAAACAATCTTTTCAGAAGTACAAGTTAATTAAAAAAAAAAAAAAGAAGATAAAAGAAAAAAGACTAAAACATTGGAGTGTTTATGTGTTTGATATCTGTAGGTTTTATTTGAGCAGGGGGCCAGATTATTGCATCAGTTTATGTTACAGAGATTTGTGGAAAGGTGGGTTCTTGCAAGGACAATTTACATACCTACTGCTTTTGAATGTAGTTTGGTGATTCTTGCCCCTTTAGACCCACACCAGAATGTCTTATGTCTGGAAAGCGTGTTGTTTTCTATATGAACACTCCTATGTTATAAACATATCTGTATTAAGGTATGTAACGTGTGTAACTGTGTACCTGTGTTTTTGTAATATTACATGAAGTAGTAATTTGGGGTGATCCTTTAGTCTGAATCACTCTTTGGTGCTGAACTAAACTTGAGTAGTAATTTCTAAGGATATGGAAATCTGTACTACTAATTAAGCTTTAACTTCAGATTTTTCTTGCTAATATGAGATGAATAGTCTTGATTCTCTTTCTGACAGGATCTAATATGCTAAACAGCTCTATTTGTTTGTTTCCTTTTTTCCTACTGTTAAGGGTTACTCTTTAAAAGTATATCCAATCCTGAAAAGAAGCTACAGAGGTCCTGGCATAAAAATAAAGCAAAAACATAGGGTGTTAATGCTGTGTATTTTGTAATGGCTTTAGTACTTCTGGCTAAATTACTGTTGTGGTTGGTAAAAAAGTGGATGTATTTTGGCTGGGACATGCAGTTCTGCTAGCGAGCCTCAAGATGGCAATGCACTGTCATTGCTGTACTTCCCTGTCAAATAGCAAGTCTATTTTTAAGGGCAAGGTAAAGACTTTTTAAAATTTAGTTCACTTTAATTCTAGCATTGTTTTACTTCTTTGAGTTAGCTATCATTATAGGGGTAAAAAAACCAAAGAATACAACCATAACAAAAGCCCCAACTTTTTTTGAGGTTACATTTTTGTTAGTGTGAGTGCATAAGGCAAATGTTTGTGGGAATATGATAGTCCTGCATTTTTGTTAAGTCACTGATTGTGATCCATGTTTGACATACCTTTCTGTCTCACCAAGGGATGAATTATTTTACCTGCATAGAAATCACTTATCAGCTTGGGTTTTCAGTAGTACTACACCCATTTTCAGTATGTTGGTAGGTGTTTCACTACTAAATCATACTAGCATCCTCTAGTATTAATAGTAGTCAATTATTTGAAATAGACTTTTTTTTGTTTTTTAAGACGTACACAAGAAAGAGAAAGATTTAAAGGGGTTAATTAAACTACACTTGATTCTGTACTACTTTGAAAATCTATGCCCACGCTCTTGGATAATGTGAAAAACTATTTTTTCACGTTAGAGATACCAAGTAGGCAGGTGAGGGGGAAAGCCAGACAGAGAATTTTTATGTTCCGAAATAACTTACAGAAAGCTTAGGAAATTCATAGTGATAGAGAAGCTGGTGGAAGGAAATGGTTGTGAGGATGACAGTTTTATGCTGTCTTGCTGTAGGGTCCTGAGATGCACTGCTTAACTTCCAAAGAAGCAAAGTTGTTATCTTTCTCCCAAAATATTGGGGGAACTGGAAATAAAAGCTGTAGAAGAAACAGGCATTGAAAACTTGAAGTTTCCTAAATTTGTAAAGCGCATAGAGGATAATGCAGCACTGTGAATGGCAACTGCCCAGGAATTAACAGGGGTGAGATAAACTACTATATCCCAGGTGACAGAGGAGCTTCAGTTAGCATTTGCATCTTAGGAACTTGAGAAGTCATGCATTGCCATGGGAAACCAACCTGCACTTGTCCCCTTTTTGTGGAACTGCTCACAGAAACAGTGTGGACAAGTGGACTATTTGGAGATGTCAAAATGCTCTTGAGTTTTGTTCATCTTCTACACTATCTGACTTCATCAGTCTAAAGGCACCTTCATTTTAGAGCATTCAGCAGTTGAGTGAAGGAGTGACATACCTAGCCCTCCTGCAAGGACAATTTCTGTATGGAAAGGAAGCGTTTCATAATTTGATTGAAATTCCAACAGTTACCAAAATTCTGGAGGCTTGTCCAAAGACAACCTCCTATCTGATAGGTTTCACTGCAGGTCTGCCCTGTCCTGAAAATCTGCCCTAGGCTCACCTGTGCCATTTGGTCATGTCATTCAGGAAGTTGGTAATGCAGAAGTAGCTGTTGGGAGAGACCTAAGCATGGCTGCAAGCAGAGATGGCTTCAGCATCTTTTTCTCAGGCCTGTATTTTACAAAAATAAAAATATCAAAGGTTTTACTGTAGCTGAGCTTACTCAGTAGGGCTGAAACCAGCAGTCTGACAGGTAAAACTGTTTCAGTGATTGAATGCTTTGGTAAAATTAGTCAGATGTTGAAGAAAAAGAAAGACTATAGCTGTTTCAGGACATGCTTGGACTTCAGGTATTAATTCTGCTGTTTGTTTGCAGTCTGTGAGCATAAAGTTTTCTTTAAAGTAAAATTACCAGTGCTTCACAGGCCAAAGAAAATTTGGCTTTGTAGGCCCCCAGGTCCGACAAAATTTTAGACAAACCCCCCCTCCTTGATTTCATAGCTGAAGTCTGCCTAACAAAATAACCAGAAGGAAGACATAATCTTATGTAAATGTATATCATATGCTATTAGTAGCAGAAGTATATTGGGAGTACAGTTTTGTAGCTGTGATACCACTCACCCTTCTAATGAATATTGTATGTAATACCAAGTTGTTTCCATAGCAAAGCAGGCGTGTCACAGGATTTGTTTGTGTCTGGGGAAGCTGTAAGCTGCTGATTGATGGTGTGGCATGAATATTACCAGTGATTTCATTAAGTTGTCTGACTACACAGATATGTAGTTTGGGTAGACAGCATCTTTTTGATTATAAGCTGGAATCTCCCTTCCTTGGATAGGCCACCAGAGAATACCCCTTTGTTTGTTTTTTTGGTTTTTTTTTTTCTGTTAAAAGTAGTATGGATTTTTTTTTTTCTACTATGAAAGTAAGGGTTTTATTCTTCTTTGAAATAAAGTCTTGATATTACAGGATTCCAAGTGGTTTGGTAGAGGAAATGAGGGATGGCTGCTTCATGCATTATTTTAGGGCTTGACTAAGAAGCTGGATAAACAGGATAAAAGCCTAGCTTGACAAATGAACAAAACAAGCCTGATCTCTGGCACACTGGGTGCACAAGGAGTTGAGCAGGTGGGGCAGGCACACAGAGCAGGGGTGGTATCTACCTGGACAGTGGTTTCCAAATAATGTATTTGCTATCAGTCTCTCCTGTCTGTGTTGTTGATTATTTTCTATTGTTAAAATAAGTAAAATTGTGGCTGTTGCTATGTGTTAAGTGTACAGACTAGAATTTATAATAGTTCTCACTTCATTTTTTTGGAGCTAGGAAGCTCTTCTCACCCCCCAAAAGCAGCAGGTTTTTACAAGACTATTAAATTTAAAAAAAGAAATTACCCAGAGTATCCTAGCTACCTTGCAATGAGTTATTCTACTCTTTGATAACTAACTATTACTCTACACATGTAGCATTGATCACCCCCAAGGAACCCCTAAGCATTTTCTAGTCCTGGGCAAGGACACAATGCATGCACAGGAACAGCTTTCACTCGCCACTGCCCTGCAGTCAGTTTTTGGGTGAAACACAACAGCTGCTTGTCAGCATGCTGTAACACTCACGGCATCTTGAAAGGAAGGGAATAGCACCAAGGCTAATTGAAACTGCCGGGATAATTTAAGAAAGTATAATTGCCCAGCAAACGCGGCTACACAAGTTGGAGTTAGTCCACGAGACGAACTGTTGTTGTGGAAAGTGTATCAGGATCTGTGATGGTCAGAAGAGGTCAGGACTTCCAGTGTTACATTTCTCACATGAAATTGCCATCTTTTTCCTGGCATTTTTAAAACACTGAGAGAGGCACAGCCCTGCCAGCACCACATCCTGCCTTGCAGTACAGGTGCTGCGCAGGCAGCCTCCTGCTTTACCTGCTGGGGTCCGGTAGGATGACAGGGGTCCTATGGGGAGTTGTTAACAGCTGGTGGCCAGAAAGGCTGGTTTGTTTCTTGGAAAAGGAGGGTTTCATTGTAACTGATGCCCTTTGTTCCTCCAAGGCTTCGCAGTTGGGTTACAAGGATGAGATGGGAAAGGTTTGCAAAAGAAGTGTTCAAAGCTTGCATTTTAAAGTGACGGTTTACTGACATGTGACAGTTTCCTTATTCCCAGGGTCTCTCTCAGCCTGATATCACTGGGATATATAATCCCCTTCCAGTAGAGCTGCTAAGGAATGTCAGCATATTCTGCAATACCCACAACTGTCAGTTGCCTAATCCTGAGCCAGCACATGTGTTAAGCACATGCTCCCTTCAGCAGAGGGAACACACTTGGAAGCTGACTGCAAGCACAGAAAAATTGCTCCCCAGGCATCTTTGTTTTAAAAATTCTGCTATTGCCTTGAAGTTGTTTTCATATATTTGGTAGCCTTGCATTTACCTCCTCAGGAGTTATCTTTAGCTATCTTGCTGCATTTTTTAAAATTTTTTTAATATCTCATTCTCTCAATAATATTAGAATTTTAAAAGCAGAAGAAAATA